GAACTTGAGCTACTGATTAAGAAAAACAAGCTTTTAGGTATTGTATCAGTAGCATTTCCTAGTCAAAAAAATTCAAAATCTAGGAGGATGTCGTTTTTTTCACAAAAATTATTATTTTCAACTTATGCGACTAATCTTTTTCAGATTCTGTGTTAAAACTGAGTATAAATATGCTTCCGAATCGATTGTGATGTTAAAACTTTGTTGATTATAGCGACTCGAGTCGATGCTATTCGTATCCTCATTGTCAGTTTTTGTGAATTAATTGAGTTTTTTTATGTGAATGATAAAGTGTAATACTTCATCGCGTATAATTCATCATGCTATCCATCATGAAAATATGCATCTTATTTTTGTTTCTCTCCTTCTCTTTGTCGAAAAAAAAAACTTTTGCTACATTGTATCTGTATTTCTCAATTTTCTTCATAAAAACTAAATCGGCTGATGTATGTTTCTAGAATTTTCGTTATCGATCATTTTTTGTGGATTTTTCAGCTGTTGCTTCAGGGTGAAAAATTCAGAAAAAACTGAAGTCAACGGAAACGATAAAAATATACATCAATTGATCTCGGTTTTTGTCATAATTCCTAATATGATACACTTATTGCATGAAAACTTTGTTTTTATGAAGAAAATTGAGAAATACGAACAGAATTCTAGTTCTGTTGCTCAGAAATTAGCAAAACTAATCTTTTTCGGCGAAACAAGGAAAGAAACAGAAAACGACGAATACTTTCATGATTGTTAGTTTGATGATTTACATAAGATGAGATATTTTGCTTTATCATTTACAAAAAAAAACTAAATCACTTTACAAAAATGGCCAATAAGCATACGAATAGCATCGATTCAGGTCGCCGCCATGAACAGTCTTAACATCAGATTCTATTTATAAGCATTTTTATACTCAGTTTTAACGCTGAATCTGAAAAAAATCAGTCACAGAAAAAGAATAAGAAAATTCGCACAAATAGAAAATAATAAGTATTTTTTGAAAAAAAATGATTCCTTCCCAATTTGTAAGGCTTATTTTGACTAGAAAACACTGTTGACAAAATACCTAAAAGTTTGTTTTTCTTAATCAATAGCTCAAGTTCTATCGAGTCATATTTCAAAAACAAAAGAACAAAAAATCCTACTTGAATTTCGACTGACGTGTATCTAGCATAAATAAATACCTTTCAAGATCATGGTGAGATTTGAATAGCTATAAGTTAACATTTATAGTTTCGTTTGATTATGCATAGAATCTAAATCATTCAAATTGATCATTTGGATTAGCTTATTGATTGAATCATAAAGATATGATTGAGTATTAGGCTTTAGAATAATGAAATCTACTTGTATGAAAATTTGTCTTGTATTTTTTTTTCTAGATGGAAATAAAACCATTTATGAATATTGTAGTCGCAATGGATGAAAAAAATGCCATTGGACATGAAAAAAAAATTCCATGGGCACCATTACCGACTGATCATCATTGGTATTTAACACACGCAACAACTACAAAAGATGCATCAAAACGTGTTGCACTTATTCTTGGACGTATAACATTTGAAGATGCTATTAAGTTTCACGAAAAATACCGTTCAAGATGGCATTTTATTGTTATAACCAAGCAATCACCAGAAATATTTTATAATACTTATAAAGAGTATGATAGAAATCATATTGATGTTGTAAATTCTTTTGATCAAGCTGCTCAACAAGCGAAACTATTACTTGATACACCGAGTGCTATGATTGAATCTGTCTTTGTGTTCGGTGGTGCTGTTCCATATGAACAAGCACTAGAATCAAAACTTGTTCAACGAGTTTATTTAACAAGAGTTTTTGCAGAAGTTCCTGAATGTGATACTCGAGTATCAAATTTTGATTTAAGTAATTTTCGACGAATAAAACGAGCAAGTGATGAAATTCTTGCAGAACTAGATGACAAAATAATTGAAGAAAACGGATGGCAATATCAATTTCAAGTGTATGAACGAAATGATTTATGAAAGAAGTTTTTATCTAATAAAGATTTATGCTTCTTAAATGAATTTATAGATTTTTAAAATGATTGTATAAATTTGTTGAATGAAGTCGTTTCAATGTTAAAGAAAAGATTTACAGTGAGAAAAAGTCTATCCTTTCTATTACTTTAGCAAATAAAATTATTTTTCCTGTTACTTCACACCTGCAAACTCTTTATTTTAGTTTGATGCAAATGACAGTGTACGAATCATGACCATTTAGTTTATTGGCGTTTACCTGACTATGAGTATCGTCTTGACATCCTTTTAAAGTAATTCCTAATCGAGCAATTCTGATGTTCGGACTCGTCCAGCTTACCTAACGTAACCGTGAATAATAAAGAAAGTCGACCAAGAAAAACAAGCAACACTAAGTATGCAAAATACAGATGACATTGCACAATGGAGAGCATCAAAGATACTAGGTAAGGATAATATAGCAACACGAAGACGAAGATACTAAACTGCTAATTGATGAGCATTCATATATTAACTTGTATTTCACTGCTGATTTACTAACGGGGTGTGAACGTGAATGAAAGATAGACGTAATCACAATCTACCATTTTGAAATTTTCTACCATTATGATTCTTGTTATCATCAACAAGGATAGGAGATAGAAAAAATCCAACTATAGCCTTTATACAAAAATTCATGGTCATAAATAATGTCTTTGGTTGCTGATGATGATCTTAATTACGACAGTCGACAATTTCAGAAATAAATGTTAAAATTATATTTAACTGCATTTCACTTAGAATTGTTACTATACTGGATGTTAGATTGAGACAGGTTTAAATCAAACAATTAGAAAGTTCCATGTTAAGGTAGATCTTGTATTCAATCAAAAATTTCTTGAATTGTTGTTTTGTGGAACTCACGTATGTTTTCGAAGAAAATAGTGAGTGTAAGTTTTCAGTTCGAGGTTGGCAGCTCCCTCTCCCTCCCCCCACCCCATTACAGACGCATAGCAACGGAG